CTGTGTGTTCTGGATGCATGTGTATTATTTAAATTAAAAGTAGGAAGTAGTTTATTATTTAAATTAAAAGTAGGAAGTGGTTTATTATATATTAACTGCGCTGTTTGGTACTGGGAATCATTTGAATTTTGCGTACAATGCTAATTATTCTGTTACAGAATCTAGCTAATTAATTTAAGCAGATGCTCGAAATTACAATTTCAGGTAAATGCTAACTTCAAGCAACAATATTGTAAATTTTTATATTTAATTCATTTATGCATAGTTACACTGATACATACTACATATTACTGTATTAGGTACGTACGTACGTACGTACGTAGCGGTGTTAAATTTGATGCAATACGAGAAAACAGATTTTTATAATTTCTTAATATAATAGATTATAATATAAATTTATTAGATGAAATTTTAGGTCTGAAATTTGAAAACGATAGTTGTTTCTTAAAATATAACTAACGGTATAGTATGATATTGTTAGAAAGTGTCGAAGTATCAGGAAATTTAAAAAAATTATGATATAGTCTGTTGAGAATAGGCATAAGCAGTTTAGCTCTTGTCATAAAATATGTAGCGTAGATTGAATCAATGAAGTCTCTTTCAGGATACTGTATAACACAAATCACAGCTAGTACGTTTTTTGAAATGCGACCAATATGTACACAACTTTGGAAAGTCCAGTACGAGAATATATAAATTGGTGAAAATTTATAAAAGTAATTAGATGACCCTTGGACAAGATTATTAGCGGCAACTTACCATGGAAAGTTACCATGGTAAGTTACCGGTAAGTTACCAAACAAACATTAATTTTAGTGAGAATTAAGGTAAAATTGTTGTTCTTGAAATTAGCATCTGCCTGAAGTTGTAACTTCTAGCGCTTGAAGTTAAACCTGCCTAAACTTGCCAACTAATGCATGCAAAAAGATCCAATTTCGGGGGCTAATTTCAGTTAAGCTTAACTTCAAGTGCTTGAAGTTGCAATTTCAAGCATGACAATATTTGAAAATCTGGCAAAATGTAACAGATATGATCACGCAGGTCAATTGATATTAGATTTTGCGAACGTACGTACGCCATTTCTTCCACCTGTACGCATTCATCTCATGATTTAATCATTTCGTTCCTGGTACGTATGACCTACATTCATGATTGTACAAGCTCAAGCGAGTACCTTTATGTTAAGAAATCCCAAGCTGCCGGCCTAAAAATATAGTTCCGTAGTATATCGAAAATTCTCAATGTAGCATTAAAAATTGTGTCTTATAAATTTCATGCTGAAAACTTTTACTTAGCACTCCATATGTGCGAATGCTCTTAATATAAACTGTTATATCTAGATCGTGATATAGACATTAATTAAGAAAGAGAATAATCGAAAAAATACGATCTCTTGCAGTATAGGTGATTTTTTTAAAATGTAATATTAATTGTCGCGGATTATCGTGAAATCGGATCATCGTGAAATTTGGGGTCTCAATTTGAAAATATAAGTCCAACCAAAATCAACCTATACTCTTTTATTAATATTTCTAACCCTAAATCCTAACTTAACTATAAAAAAAAAGCTGACAATAAAGGCCCTAAAAATTTTTAAAAATTGCACATAAAATAGATCCAAATTTCATGATAATCCTATACTGCAAGATAGTTAAATCCATTATTTTAGAATACGAGACAATAAAATGAAATAAACTCGGTCGATAATTACATAATGACAATAATCATAAAACATGTATCATATTAGGACTGACGCTAGAAATCAGACAAAATTTATTTAGATAATATAATCTAATGCTAATAGCTAGCTAGCCCGTTTAGGTTGAACTGGAAAGCTTACAGGAACTAACTCATAACCGCACCTTTGGATTGTAAAATAAAATTTGTTCAATACTAAAAATATATTGTTTAATACATTAAATAGTAACTTTTTTATTGTACTTATTTATCAATATTCTACAATGGAAAAAACAAATATACATAAATATATATGAAAAATAATAATTTGAATATATTACAATTTTGAGCATTTCAAACAATTAACATCAAACTCTCATGTCACCAATAATGTCAACAAGACCAGCACAATGTGTGAAAAATTTCATCTCAAGTAATAAGTATGTCATAAAATTAAAAACGTCAACTTCTTCGTAAATTGTATCCATATTTGTGTAGCAGGTGTCGCAGTGACTGAGTGTAGGCTTATCAACGTCGTCGAACAATTGTACACGTATAGAATGGTCATTATACCTATCCATATTTGTGTCGCAGGTGTCGCAGTGATTGAGTGCAGGCTTATTAGCGTTGACGAATAATTTTACACGAGTAGAATAATCATTATACCATTTGTTTATCACTTTTGACTCACAATCAGAGATGGGTCGTATTAAGGCCAGTGAAATTATTAATTGGAATACTTTGGGGACGAGAGAAGGATAAATATATTGTTTACCAGTCAGATAGATAAGAACAAACTTAAATCCTCGAAATGCTATACTAATAAATATAATGCAAATAAAAGTGGGTATAATGAATTTAATATTGTTTCTGCATTTGCATTTACATTTTTAACTAAAAAATAAAAGCAAATGGTTGTATAAAAAAAGAGATGAAAATGTTTAGCAGATGCATAAATATGAATCAACTCAAAAATTATGGCCAGCATAAGAAATAAAGAAAACTTATCAGTCGATGACTGATTTGTAACGAACAACATAATATATATCAAGTACGACGCAACTGCACAAACCAAGGTGCAGATGCAAGATCGTAATAAAAAATAACTAAATTGTCTCAGAAGTCTTCTTGTATTAAATAAAGGGAATACTGGTTTATGAAATTCGAACAAACTAGCGTGCGAACGAAGCAACATGTGTCCAGTAAACAATAGTCTATGAAATCTATAAGCATCAACATTTATTGTATCTTCAGTTCCACGAGTGTTTATACTTAGAAAACAATTATCGACATGACATTTCAACGATTCAAGTCTTGAAGTACATAACCCAACGATAACTTCAAATTCAAGTTCTCCAATAATACGAAAAAGAGCACTTGAATAAAGTGCTTTAAAGAGATCAGGATAATACAAAAAGATCTGGCTGAAAGAACAGATACGACGACAAATCATAAGATTAATGTAAAGAAAGATTTTCAAGGAAAATTGAATGGTAACAATGACTACAAAAGTTAAACTGAATTTTAAATCAGAGATTATTAAATCAGTCTGATACCAAAATGCACGAAATAAAAATAATGTGCTAAAGGGTATAATAAAGTTGTAAAATTTTAGGTCACTAAACAGCAATTTGAAAAATGAAAAATAACAAATTGCTAATGTCAAATTAATAGTATTAGGTTGGCCTATAGAATTCAAAATAGAAACTATAAGCGGCACGGCTAATGCCGTTATATAACTGTAGAGCCAATAAATGATTAATTTTAAAAGCCAAGAAATTGGGTAGGATTTATTATTCTTGAAACAATCCATTATGCTCTAAAGAGATAGAAAAATACGCACTGTATAAATATCTGAACATGTGCTGATCTTACGAATACTGTAGAAAGAAACTCGGCACTTATTTACCTCAATATCATTTTCCAGAAACTTATATAATATTTTATAAATAATAAAGTTCGTACATATGGAGCAGGAATCTAAAATGAAATTTACTTACTTTCGCGAGTAATACAAACCCAAAAAGGGGAACGTTTAAAGCCTGGCACTTTCAAACTTACCTAAAGTTGATTAATAATGTATTAGGTTTGTTAGGTCTAAGTTAGGACAGAGACATAGTTATAAGTAAAATTGCGCCCTAAGAATGGTTTGATACCTGTTCTCGATCTTTTTCGTGTTTTTGTTTATTTGCCGAACTGATTCGAGTTAACGTTAATCAAAATTTATTGGGTAATTTCATACCTTTTTCGTGATGTCGATGGACATCTTGCCTATATCGATATGCATTTTTAATATAACCTAAGTTAACCTTAAATCTTTAGTCGACATCGTCAAAAGGAAACTGCCAATCAGCGAGTTCAATTTTCGATTATCTCGGAAATATAATCCGAAACGTGAGAAAGGAAGAAAAAAAAAAAAAAAGAAAAAAAAAGCGAAAATACTCGAAAATTAATATTTAAATCAACCCTAGTGCATTAATTAAATGTCGAAGCGAAATTTTACATATAAAAATGACAATTTTATTCCATATTTCCTCAAACTAACGCCCTAACCTTGAATTCTATTTTCATGTACAGAACCTCGTCTGGAAGATTAATGAATAGATTATCAACTGAATGTCTCAGTAATACAATTCCTAAAAGAAAATAGTCATACCCGAAAACTAATGTTACAATTCCTAAAAGAAAATAGTCATACCCGAAAACTAATGTTTAAAACGACCGTGGTGCGCTAATGACAATCTATCGCTATGACTTTTAATTCTAATCCTAAACCTGTATCTTTACCCATTTGGTTTGTTTACAAAATTTCAGGCAATAAAAGTTACAAAAAAAGGTCATCAGACATTCCTATTTTGATTCTTCTATTTTAAGTTTATAGCTAAAAATCCTATCGCTATTTTTAAAGTTCCTGTTTATTTCCGAAATAATCTATTTTTTATATCCCATTGTAATTTTGTGTACGTATAGAATTCCAATCTAAGTTTATTAGCAAGAAGTCATTTGTAACGTTCTTGCATAAAACAAGGAAACTAACTATTTCATGGTATACTTTAATAGGGTATTTTTATAGCGATATGTAAGAACTTTTGCTTTCAAACATATTGTGAAATTGATCTTTTACGCGAAAAATTTATAACATTTTTCAATTAGAGGATATAACATGAAACTTATTATTCATTTCGAGTATAGGTTTCGTTATTTTTTAACAATGATCTATAAGGAAATAAAAAGGACTTAATGAGTCTCTTAGCACCGATTTTAAAAATAAACTTTTTAGATACAAGAGCCATTTAGCTAGCAAGTGCAGAATTCATTTAAATTCATTCAAGCGATAAATGATTGTGTAATGCTTCTTTTAAGCATTTACTTACGTTAAGGCCTAAAGTTATTTTGCAAATCTCATTTATTATTAACCTGGCTTCTTTCATTTCCTGAACATTCGGATTCAATCTTTGCTTCTCTATTTGCTTAATATTTTCAAAATTTTCCACCTACTTTTTCAATTCAGTAACTGTTTTTTTTCAACCGTAAAACTATTAAATAATTCTTGGGTAATACAATAATAACTTCAATTCGATCAGTGGATTCATTAGCATTTACTTGACCGATAATATGATTAACCAAGAATTTAACTCGATTAATTCCATTTTCATCGAAAGATAAAGTATCAGAATATCCATCAATAACATTTGCTGATCAAAAATCATTTGTGGTCATTATGTACTTTTTTTGATATTCCAAGTGAAATACCACTACATTCGGCAAGATTCCAAAGAGGTGTTAATGCTTACCTCGTATATCAAATATTGCGATCATATTTTGATGCATTTTATGCATCTAACTTTACTATTTATCCTTTGATCGGTTACGACTAGCAAATGTCGTCTTCGTATTAATAATTTAAATGCTGTACGTACGTACATACCTTTAGCGTTAGTGAAAATCTATTTAAATTTTAACGGCGCATGTGGATTTTCATAAATACTAAACCTGATTATACCTGTCGTTTCATTCTAATTGTAAAGATATACAAGGAACGGAGAGATATTGAAAATTTCACATAGTGTATGGTTATATGGAAAATTAAATGGTGTTCGTACGCAAAATCTAGTATCTTCTAGTAAGTGACCGTGACTTCAGTCACGGGAACGGTATTATCGCGAGAGATCAGTAGATCTCTGTCACATGGCTAGAACATATGAGCCAATCGTGGAGGGTTAGTATTTAAAGGCTTAGAGAAAATGGTTGTTTGTTGTGTCTTTTCGCTGCAGTCGCCCAAAAGTATAGCTTTCTGGCTTAGTCGTAATTCCCCCCTCCCACCACTAAAACTGTTCATCCACTGTACGTTCTTCTAGACTGCTGAAAGCCATTTTGTGGTGAACACCAACACGTTTGTGCCAGAATTGTGGTCGTCGATGTGCTGTGGTTACGCCACACCGCTCTCATATTGTGAATGTGCTGTGGTTATGCCACACCGTTCTCATATGACTGGGTACATCCACACCGTTCTCGACCAGGGATAGGCCTAGAGCAGATACACAATGCCACATGAATTTAGTAGTGTGAAATATATTTGTTGTAGTTGCTGAGGCAGCGAGCACTATTCCCATACTTCTTTTAAATAAATGCTTGTTTTGCTCCAAATGATCTCGAGCGAAAATAATTGGGCATGTGCATATGGTGAAGCAAAGGTGTGAATGCTTATTGAAACTTCGCATGTTACATCTTCTCATCCGAAGTAACACTTGCTCCTGTATTTTGTGTCGTCTGAGATTGTTAGTCTAACTTTTAATGCGCGATACCTGATTCAGTAATTTATTTTCTCATGATCGTTGTATACATGTGTGCCTAAATTGTCCTTCTTAATAAAAAAGTAATTACGGCATTTAGGCTGCCGAAATTAGTCTTATATAGTGCCGAAATTAATTTTCATATTTGCTGAAATTATTGCCGAAATTTTTTAAAATCTTTTGATCAAAACACATAATATAGTATGTTTGTCGAAAATACATTTTTCAAAAATAATTTAGGCAAACATGTATAGGTCGTCACTTAATTGCTGATTATACCATTCTGTATAAGATTCTGGAGATTTTGATTTCTATTTTTATTATTGATTTTTTTCCTAATTTATTTTGGCTTAAACAATGAATTATTTGATTATAGTAAATGATTGTATTGTCAGAGGCAAATCGACTAAATTACACCTCCAACAAAAGAGAGGAGTTATGATGACCCGGTGTATAAAAGAGAACAAGGTCGACTAACAATGCTCAGTAGAGAGGTGAGGCAGAAATTGATTTGGCACAGGTCAAAGGTGTCTACTGAGTATTGTTAGGTAAGTAATTTAGTGCAGTTTTAAATGAACATTGCAACTTGAGTTTGTTAAAGGCTTTTATTAATGATTTTATTGTTTGTAGGGTAAATTGTACATGCACTTGATGACTTGAACAAGAGGAATTCAACTTTTTATTTATAATGAAATTACAGAGTAAGAAAAAGAACAAGATTGAATGTTTTTCCATCTTCTTTCATTAAACTGTTATTGAACTCATGCCATACAACCCTTTTCTGGTCTAATTCCAACCATTACTCACAGCATTCTTATTGAAGTGTTTGACAGGATGAAAAAGAAGGCAAAAAGAAGGCACATTAAATGAAGGCTTTGTACCATTATCATTCTTTACCTGTCAATTTTATTCATTCATCCATTGACTCTTCTATCAAACTATGTGTATTTTTCTTTCATGGTCACACACCTTACCCAACAAGGTAATATTACTTTGATAGCTGTTAATTGAATCAGGTAAGTGTCTTCTTTCCTCAATGAGATCATTGATGGAGGCTTGGCTTTATAAGATTGTTATTTAGCATTTCAATACAGTGGGTCTGACTTGAGTAGGTTTTTTGTATATAATCATCATAGTGAAATTGTGGGTCTCAGAGTACTGCAGTACAATAATATTTGTGTAATGATTTCATATGCCCAACATGCAAAGTTTTGTATAATTCTTAAATTCTTTGTATACATGGTTTTGCCAGTAACAGTATTGTTATTTTTCATGCTACATATGTGTTAATATGCAAATTCTGATTTTTCAAATTTTATACATATAGAAATTTTCAGAATTGCTCAAGTTTTTAGAATATTTAGAAGTCTGTTTATAGTAGCTTCTTGGCATTAAGATATATAAATTTAATAAACCTTTTTTTTTTTTTTTTTTTTTTTTTTTAGAGGGATGACAAGATGGAGATGATGGCGAGGTTTCCCCCCCACCCGTGAGCGCACAAAGGTTTGATCTCCAACGGCCGCCGACCCACCGTTGGAGC